TCTTGTCTCTTACTGTATCTCATTCTTGTCTTGTCTTATTTTGTCTCATCTCTCCTTTTTTTGTCTCATCTCTTCTCATTTTGTATTTTCTCCTCTTGTCCTTTCCTGTTGTTTTGTCTTTTCTCTCCTCCCGTCTTGTCTGTTTTCACCTTGTCTCCACTTGTCTCATTCTCATCTTGTCTCAATTTGTCTCTGCGTCTCTAATGTTCTTCTTTCGTCTCATCTCTTCTCATCTTGTCTTTTCACTCCGTTCCTCTCGCTTTATCTCTCCTCTCATTTGGTCTATTTTAATCTCATCTCTTCTTGTCTCATTCTCTTTAGTCTCTTCTCTTCTTTTTTTCCGTCCTGTCTCTTTTTGTCTTTTCTCCTCTCTTCTTTCCTCATTTCATCTAGTATCTCCTCTCATTTTGTTTGATTATTTTAGTCTTGTATCTTCTTGTTTGTTCTCATCTTTTCATCTTTTAACATCTTGTCTTCTCTTGTCTTATGTCTTTTCTCCTGTGGGCTCTACTCTCATTTCGTCTCACCTGTCTTCTCATTTTTGTCTTTTTGTTTAATTCTAAACTTGTCTCATTGTCTCCTCTCATCTCTCCTTTTCTCAACTTCTTTCCTCTCATCTCTCCTTTCCTCGTTTTGTCTAGTATCTTTTCTCATTTTGTCTGTTTCTTTTCTCCTCTGGTCTCTCCTCTCATTTTGTCTCTTTATTTTAATCTTGTCTCTTACTGTATCTCATTCTTGTCTTGTCTTATTTTGTCTCATCTCTCCTTTTTTTGTCTCATCTCTTCTCATTTTGTATTTTCTCCTCTTGTCCTTTCCTGTTGTTTTGTCTTTTCTTTCCTCCCGTCTTGTCTGTTTTCACCTTGTCTCCACTTGTCTCATTCTCATCTTGTCTCAATTTGTCTCTGCGTCTCTAATGTTCTTCTTTCGTCTCATCTCTTCTCATCTTGTCTTTTCACCCCGTTCCTCTCGCTTCGTCTCTCCTCTCATTTGGTCTATTTTAATCTCATCTCTTCTTGTCTCATTCTCTTTAGTCTCTTCTCTTCTTTTTTGTTTTCATCTCTTTTTCGTCTCTTTTTGTCTTTTCTCCTCTCTTCTTTCTTTTTCATCTAGTATCTACTCTCATTTTGTTTGTTTATTTTAGTCTTGTATCTTCTTGTTTGTTCTCATCTTTTTTTTCTTTTCATCTTTTAACATCTTGTCTTCTCTTGTCTTATGTCTTTTCTCCTGTGGGCTCTACTCTCATTTCGTCTCACCTGTCTTCTCATTTTTGTCTTTTTGTTTAATTCTAAACTTGTCTCATTGTCTCCTCTCATCTCTCCTTTTCTCAACTTCTTTCCTCTCATCTCTCCTTTTCCTCTCATTTCGTCTTGTCTCTCCTCTCATCTCGTCTCTCATTTTGTATTCTCTTATCGCCACTTTTTCATCTCATAATGAGACGATACATTAAAACAGAGAAAATGAGAATGAGACAAGAAAAAACAAGACGAGAAGAGACTTTTGTCTCTCCTTTTCTTTCTCTTTGCTCTACTAATTTTCCCTGTTTATTTTAAAGTCTCATCTTCGCTCATCTTGTTTTGCCTCTCTACTTGATTTATCTCTCCTCTTCTCATCTGGTCTCTTTTCTCATCTTTCCTCTTCTCCAGTGCTCCTTAAGCTTAATGAACTCATTACATAAAGGCTGTAGATCAGTGTTATTACCAAATGATTTACCCCTCTACACTTATCAGGTGGCCAATTTAAGCTTTCAGCTCAATTAATATTGTTTTTTTTTTTTACTTCTCCCCTCTCTTTTTCGTTCTGTTTCTTTTCTGAATGTGTACATCTGATTTGAAACCAAGAGGCAATCAGGTCAAGGTTTACTCTGCTCTGCTAGGAAGCTAATGAAATTCAAGCCATGCTGGCAGCCCCAGAATGGCTTGTTCCGGCCTGATAAGCAGTGAAAAAAAACCAGCAGGCACAATTCAGTGATTTCCTAGTGGTTTGCGCTCAGCAAGGCCAGACTAGTTTGTCTGCAGGAACAGGAAGTGACCTTTTGACCATCTTCACCTGATTCCCACACCTGTGCTCGGTAGCCATGTTTCCAGAGAGGTAAACTGGGAGGCAATGTGGAATGTGAAGAAAATGGCCACATAAGTAATGCCTTCGTGTGAAAGTGTAATAGAATTTATGTAGGAATGAAAGCTGGATCACTTACAAATCCGGTCTGATTTGTACAGAATGAACAGCTCATGTGTCTTGTGACTTTTCCTTTGATTGTGACCCAGGCTTAAGGTAAACATTTTCTCTGAACTCCTTGCTTGGTGAACTTGTTTTTACATGGATACCATCTCCTGTGTTTTAGGATCCTCTTTTGAGACCAACAGTCACCAAAGGCCAGTCTATTTCAACAATTCTGGTCAGTCAGTGGAGTCTGTAAATGATGGCTTCAGCTCATACCTGGTAAAGCAGCTTCTATTACATATCTACACCTAAGGGTCATTCACAAGAAAATGGTACCATTTATTTGCCTTATTGAAAAGATTACTGCTGAACTTTTAAGACATCATATTTTTCCATATCAATCTGAAAGTACCAGGGCCATAAGCACTATAGACCCTTGGGGGGAACTATATTACATCTAAAATGTTTTGGGGGAGACTGTTACAGGGTTGAAGGGCACTGCAAAAATATCTAATAATGTACAATATATCAGTGCAACGCACCATATTATTTACAATCAGTGCCAACTAGTAAATTTAAATACAATTTTAATATATATTTTGTATTGAAATAATTTCTGTGTAACCATTACTCTAATTGCAATGACTTACAAATTTAAAAATAATTATATTTTATTCTAAAATTACTTTAGCATTACTCACAAAATGTGACTGAGTCACATCTATCAAATAATGTGATTAAGTTCAGTATCCTGTTAATTATGTCCGTAGTAAGTCATAAAGACACAAATGGCACCATTTCCTGACAATGACCTCATAACTGACAATAACAAGTCTATTCAAACTACATAAGAACAAATGGTGTGTGTCACAGTGGTTTCCACCACTGATCTGGAAACTGTGTAAGCTGGATTGTTCTTCTTTCTTTTACAGAGAACTAAAGCCCCATTGACCCGCTCCGATAGTGCCGGCTCTGAGGATAACTACGTACCCATGAATCCCGGCTCGTCCTCCTCCCCTCTCAGTGCCGCCCTGGCTGACAGTCCTAAAAATAATTATATTCCCATGAGCCCAGGTCCTCACCATTTTGATTTCCCAGGATTTTCAGCAACTTTGCCAGCCAGGAAGGGCAGTACAGCATCACTATGTCTCCGGCCCGGCCGACTCAGTGACGTCACACCACCACCGATCAACCGCAACCTTAAACCCAACCGGACGTGTGAGTGGCACTAACACAACTTCTCAATCTTCTGTCTTTGTTGAAAATATGAACATTCAATAAAGATTAGAAGAACAGATTGATTAATTATACAAATTTCTTCTGCACAATTTATTTACACAAGATGATTGTTTGTCTTGGTTTGCAGCAAAACCAACACCTCTTGACTTAAGGAACAATGGCATCATTGATGAACTTCCCTTCAAGAGCCCCATCACCATGTCTTGGATCAGACCAACGTAAGTGGGTCTCCCAATTTAGAACATAATTTTGCAGTGCTATTATTTACAATTACAGTAATAAAGTAAAACTACAGGTGATTTCAAATTTAAATTATAAATTCAATCATTAGTAATATGATTTAATAGTTTACCAATTTTGACCAATAGGAGGCGCTGTTACCAAATTAATGTGGTGTGGCCAGTGTTAGGTGATCATAGCGTACATAAAGTTTTATGTCAGTATGTCAAAGCTTAGCAGAGATACAGCCTCAGATGCAGTTTGGCATCATTCCATCAAATTTGTTGATGTGGTAAATGAAAACCGTTTCCTCTATCAACACAAAATTCATAACTTTATGCCTGCATGGTCTGAAGATGATCTGAGTCGAATTTGATGAAAATCGGACAAACAATCTAGGAGGAGTTTGAAAAAGTATGTTTTCATAGAAAATCAAAATAACAGATGGGAAGTTCAGCTGATTATGGCATAACTGGTATTGATGTTTGCCTGCATGGTCTGAAGATGATCGAATTTGATGAAAATCGGACAAACAATCTAGGAGGAGTTTGAAAAAGTATGTTTTCATAGAAAATCAAAATAACAGATGGGAAGTTCAGCTGATTATGGCATAACTGGTATTGATGTTCTCTGCATGACTCAATGAATCTATCAAAACCAGTCACATGACAATAGGCAAAACTAATCAAAAGCTATTAGCATTTTTTTTTTTATTATTATCATTTTTGACCACAAGGTGGTGCTGCCCCGAAACTTTTTGAGTACCTTCAGGGTATTCAAAAAGGCCAACATGGGAAAATTATCTAAAGAGATAAGTCTTGTGATTTTTGGCCAAACCGTTCAGAAGTTACAAGCTAAAAATCTGTCAAAAATACCCATTTTTTCATTTATCCTGATCACTAGGTGACGATAACTGTGCAGGTACGCCCAGGTCATGGTTATTGTAACACACACCAAGTTTGGTTTGAATATGCTAAAGTGTTGTGGAGATATAGCCTCACGCCCATTTTGGTGTGCTTTTCATCAAATTCGTTATTCTTGAACAGTTTGACTAATCAACTTGAATTCTGTAACTTTTTGTCAGTATGGTCTGAAGATGATCTGAGCCAATTTTGGTTAAAATCAGACAAACCATCTAGGACAAGTTCTAAAAAATGATTTTATGATTAATTCAAAATTGCGAAAAATCTTGACCCGTAGAATTTTGAATTTTGGTATGCATTCGACTCGGCATGAGCCAAGGAATCAGAGTTAAAAAGAATTTTGTGTCTAAACTTTATGGTTCAAAAGGTATTAGCATGAACATGGGTGCGAATTTGAGCTCTTGGTGGCGCTAGAGGGTTTGAGTTAGAGACTCCAAATTTGCTATGGTTAATGTTGAGACTGTTTTCTATCTGTGTGCCAAATTTCATAACTTTCCTGCAAATGGTTCTATGGGCATCTATAGGCTTTCAAAGAGGAAGAAGAAGAAAAAGAAGAAGAAATCTAACATACAATAGGTGCCTATGCACCTTCAGTGCTTGGCCCTAATTATTAAAGGGGTCATATGATGTTGCTAAAAAGAACATTATTTTGTGTATTTGGTGTAATGAAATGTGTTTATGCGGTTTAAGGTTAAAAAAACACATTATTTTCCACATACTGTACATTATTGTTTCTCCTCTATGCCCCGCCTTTCTGAAATGCGTCGATTTTTACAAAGCTCATCGGTCTGAAAAGCGAGGTGTGCTCTGATTGGCCAGCTATCCAGTGCGTTGTGATTGGCCGAATACCTCAAGCGTGTGACGGAAATGTTACGCCCCTACCATACTGAGATGCCCTGTCTGGCCGGAGCAACGAGACAAAAACCTAAAACATTACACCCATTGAGACATTAAAACCCAATATAAACAAGGCATTTGTTGCATCCAGTGGGGACATAATTACGGATTATAATGACTTATACTGTCTTTTTACGCGTTGCATTGCATCGCGCCGCGTAAACATAAAACCACGTCTGCATTTGTGATCGGAGAAATGACAAACAACAAACCCTACTCTACACTGCCCAAAAAACTAGCTTTAAATATAAAAAAATATAAAATATAAAAACTCTTTAAATATAAAAAATGTACTTTTGCACAGCCACACCTTTGCCTGATGACATAAGGTCTGGGTTCTATAGTCAAGGACCGCCCACTTAGACAGGGAGAGACTCTCTGATTGACATGTAAAGCAACCAATCTAAGTTCGTTTTTTTCAATGTCATGTTTAGGAACAAGTAAATGTCGCTACAATAACAAACTGACATAATGCAATGTCATTCCATCAAGACTGGTATAAAGTTAAAGCAAATAGTGCCGCAACAGTCTGCATGAAAACAAAATTATCTAAAATTTAAAAAAAAAAATCTTTAAAGAATAAAGATTTCAATGGCATATATTAGGGCTGCACGATTCGGGGGGAAATGTAATTGCAATTTTTCTGGTTAAAATTGCGATTTAAATTCGATTTTTTAAACAAATTAACAAAAAATAACAATATAATAATTAGATAAAAATTAAGATAATAATGCTAATCTTATTTTACAGCAAACTGTTGTTTTACAGAAAACTGCAGGGTTACTTGTTAACATACAGGCCTATAACTGTACATCATATGATACTGTTATGATCAAAATCTTTTTAATTTCTTAATTTTTATCAGGAGGTATGTAAAATCAAAAATGGAGTCCATGTCTTTAATATGAAATATGAGCCTTTATACATCCACTGTGGGGAAAGAACAAAGAAGAAAAAAAACTCCTGTACACTTCTATAGACTGGAGAAAAACATGGATTATCATAGGTTTACATCAAATTTCTTTAGAGAGAAGTATTATTTTTCCTATTTGTGGCCCAGATAGGATTGAGTGTGCATTACTGAGTGCTAAACTTATGTAATGTTTGTTTCATTCATACTGGATGCCAGAGGGCATCCTCGCGCAGATCCCTAATATGGACAAAGGCAGTTATGGCTGTGACTGAATTAGAAGAAAGAAATGTATGAACTGATTAAACATGAAGACAATAAACCAACGGCAATATATGGTTTATCTGTGCTCTTCCTGCCATCTCGGGTATTTTCATAATATTAAAGTAAATGTATAATGCATTGTTAATCGACATAGCCATTTATTGCAGTATAGAATATATGTTGTGCCTCATTCCATAATAAGAAGCCACATCAGATCAGAAAATTAGGTTATTTCAAAACACTCGACTGATGTTGTGGAGTAAAATCATCGTTGAGAATCAATTTTCTCAACAACAGGTTTATAAATACTTCTCATTAAGTTTGAGAGGATGTTTGGAGTGTGTTGCTTAATCAGATGCACGTTATAAGCACATCTCCCCACTTTTTAGTGTCCACAAGCAATTTGGGTGATCCAAATACAATGCTAAATAAGTCTGCTGCAATGTCAGTGTCGTTACTGTCAGGTAAAGTACAGTACATGCTGGTACTTCGACTCTTATGTTTAACTAAGTTCCTCAAACAAAACTCTTGTTTCTAACCCTTCTTCACAAGTTCTCTTTCACAAACCTTTTGAAATCCAAATTTACATGCTCACGTGAAGCGCTCAGTGTCAGTCTTTGTGAACATGGCTTTTTTGCCCGGCAGACTGTTAAAGGGATAGTTCACCCAAAAATGAAAATTCTGTCATTAATTACTCACCCTCATGTCGTTCCAAACCCGCAAGACCTTCGTTCATCTTCAGAACACAAATTAAGATATTTTTGATGAAATGCGAGAGCTCTCAGACCCTGCATAGACAGCAACGCAACTGTAATGTTCCCAGGTCCAGAAACGTAGTAAGGACATCGGTAAAACAGTCCATGTGACATCAGTGGCTCAACTGTTTTCAACAATTCTTCTCCCCCGAGTTACGTCTTCCGCCATTTTAGAGAGTATCACAATGCATACGCACGCTTTCCCCTAAGCATAAACGTTGATTACGCAGATTCCGTTCATGCGCACGCTTTCAACTCCGAACGTAAACAACGCTGATTACGCAGATTCCGTTCATGCGCACGCTTTCTCCTCCGAACGTAAACAACGCTGATTACGTCGATTACGCTCTTGGGTACTCTCCAAAATGGCGGAAGACGTAACTCGGGGGAGAAGAATTGTTAAATAAATTGTTATTTTTGTTTTCTTTGCGCTCAAAAAGTATTCTCGTAGCTTCGCAAAACTGAAGTTGAGCCACTGATGTCACATGGACTGTTTTACCGATGTCCTTACTATGTTTCTGGACTTGGGAACATTACAGTTGCGTTGCTGTCTATGCAGGGTCTGAGAGCTCTCACATTTCATCAAAAATATCTTAATTTGTGTTCCGAAGATGAACGAAGGTCTTACGGGTTTGGAACAACATGAGGGTGAGTAATTAATGACAGAATTTTCATTTTGGGGTGAACTAACCCTTTAAAGACCACCACAAACGGCTCCCGGAAAACCATTAGAAGTCAGCCAACTGGATTTAGGCTTCTGACTTTGCAATGTTTAGCAAACGGTCCATGGTCGTGATGTCTTGGCTGAGACTAGTTATATAGTAACTGCCGCAGTAAATGTTAAGTGATTTTTTTTTGTTACTTTCTTTACAGGCCTGTGAACTCCATCTCGTCGCAGCCCTGTCGGCCCATTTCAACCCAGAGCATCACCAGCACTGATTCTGCAGACAGTGAGGAGAATTATGTGGCAATGGTGAGGGCAATAAGTCGAGTTTCAGAATGTGATGAAAAGGCTTGAATGTGCTTTGGGAATAGCACCCCAACCTTGTAGTTAGTTACCAAGTTCCTCAACAACAGACTACCTTTCAATACATATAACATTCTTTGAGATTTTTTTTTATTTTTTTTCGGTCAGCTATTTCAAAAAAAAAAAAACATGTTAATATTTGTGCAGCAAAACCCAGTGTCTACCTCCCCGGCGATGAGTGGTACCAGCAGTCCTGCGCCCAGGAATTGTGGTAATGTGGACTATTTGGCCCTGGACTTTCAGCCTGGCTCCCCTGGTCCACACAGAAAGGTACGTCTAGCCTTAGTTCATATCAACTAAATGAAAAGCTCATCATCAAATGCTCAAAATGAATCCCTTATGGGCACCTTGAGTATTCCAAGACAAACAAAAGCATAAAATCATTTTATTTAATGTTGTGTGAATCTTTGCACTTTGAGTTGTTTGGTTGAATATATTTGATTCCATCACTTCACATCCTTTCACAATCTATACCTTTTTTTTCTTTGCTATAGCCGTCCACCTCTTCAGTGACCTCAGATGAAAAAGTGGACTACGTCCAAGTGGACAAAGAGAAGACACAGGCCCTTCAGAACACCATGCAGGAGTGGACAGATGTGCGACAGTCAAGCGAGCCGGCTAAAGGCATCAAGTCCTGATGATTTTCAAATGTTCACACTGAATGTGTTCCTCCCTGTCACTCAAAATGCTCTTTTACTGTTACACCATGATATAAACTGATTTACCTGTGACAAAATAGCGAATGAAACACCAACTAAAGCCATAGATCCACTTCATTTGGTCTTTTTTAGGACAAAAAACTCCACTGAACCTCCTAGACTGTCTTGCCATGCATGTTAGACATGTTTAACTTTTCAAAGTGCAGTGCAACCAAACTTTAGCTACTTGCTCTCTCTCTGAGTGTGATCGAAGAACGATAAGCAGTGAATGTTTAAATCTAGTTATAGGTGATGTGTGCATTTTTTTTTACAATGTTAAAATACTTTAATCACATCTTAAAATTCAGAGACAGCTAGAAATCTATTTGTCGTTTGATTCCCCCAGAAAAGTGTAAACACTGTGACTCTTACAAAACAATGCTCTGTTTGTTTGAGCATCCTGACCAGCCTGACATAGTAACACTGGCTCAACCAATGCCATTAGTTTGGGGCGGGACTGTCTGACCAATGGCATACAGGGGAAGTGTTCAGGAAACCTGTTTGAAACTCAACATTTTTATCTGTTTAGTAGCACTAGTTGCACAGAAATTACACACTTCACCTTTAAAGGGGTCATCGGATGCGACATGCACTTTTACAAGCTGTTGGAACTGAAATGTGTGTTGGCAGTGTGTTTGGCCCTGGACTTTCAGCCTGGCTCCCCTGGTCCACACAGAAAGGTACGTCTAGCCTTAGTTCATATCAACTAAATGAAAAGCTCATCATCAAATGCTCAAAATGAATCCCTTATGGGCACCTTGAGTATTCCAAGACAAACAAAAGCATAAAATCATTTTATTTAATGTTGTGTGAATCTTTGCACTTTGAGTTGTTTGGTTGAATATATTTGATCCCATCACTTCACATCTTTTCACAATCTATACCTTTTTTATCTTTCCTATAGCCGTCCACCTCTTCAGTGACCTCAGATGAAAAAGTGGACTATGTCCAAGTGGACAAAGAGAAGACACAGGCCCTTCAGAACACCATGCAGGAGTGGACAGATGTGCGACAGTCAAGCGAGCCGGCTAAAGGCATCAAGTCCTGATGATTTTCAAATGTTCACACTGAATGTGTTCCTCCCTGTCACTCAAAATGCTCTTTTACTGTTACACCATGATATAAACTGATTTACCTGTGACAAAATAGCGAATGAAACACCAACTAAAGCCATAGATCCACTTCATTTGGTCTTTTTTAGGACAAAAAACTCCACTGAACCTCCTAGACTGTCTTGCCATGCATGTTAGACATGTTTAACTTTTCAAAGTGCAGTGCAACCAAACTTTAGCTACTTGCTCTCTCTGAGTGTGAGCGAAGAACCATAAGCAGTGAATATTTAAATCTAGTTATAGGTGACGTGTGCACGTTCTTCAATGTTAAACTACTTTTATCACAGCATAAAATTCAGAGAATGCTAGAAATCCATTTGATTTCTTTCGTTTGAAGTCTCCCAGAAAAATGTAAACACTGTGACTCTATCAAAACATAGCTCTGTTTGTTTGAGCATCCTGTCCAGCCTGACATAGCAACACTGGCTCGACCAATGCCATTAGTTTTGGGTGGGACTGTCTGACCAATGGCATGCATAGGGAGTGTTCAGGAAACCTGTTTGAAATTCAACATTTTTATCTGTTTAGTGGCACTAGTTGCGCAGAAATTACACACCTCACCTTTAACAGTGTTATAAGGGCAGAACAGCACTTCAAACAGAGGATTTTATGAATTCATGGTGGTCTGCCTGCCAACTTGAATTGCAGTTTGTCTGTTAATTCAGCGGAAGAGAGAAGGTCACTGTTTTTCCAATTTTGAGTCAAGGAATGTAGAAAATGTTCAAAAATATCCTTGTAGTTTTTACATTAAAAATGTTTAATGGGTGTTTTCACACTTGGTCTGACAGTTGCTCATATGAATATTGGCTTAGATGTGAATGCAAACCCAGCCCTTTTAAAAAGTGAATCAAACTCAGATAATCTCAGGAGGTAGTCTGTGTATGGTTCACATATATGATGCATTGTAAATGCAAAGCTCACACACAACCACAAAAGTCCAAAAAAAAAAAGTTCACACAAAAATTTAAATTGTCATTTCACTCCAATTATGTATCATTTACTTGTATGTAACACAAAAGGAGTTATCTAGCAAAATGTCCAAGTGACTCTTTTTCATACATTGGAAGTAGATCTTTTCTTTTTCAAAGGAGGTTGGATATTCTGCTTTATAAGACCTTTGTTGTTCCACATAGTGGTGTCGCCAATACACCAGTATTAATAAAAATTATATATGCATGTTACTACTCCAGATACATTACACCTGAAAGGGCCGTTCACACAGAATGCGTCTTTGCATCTAAAAAAAAAAAAAAAAACGAGACGGTGCTCAGGATTGGTTTAAAAAAAAAAAGCACAGCGCAGAATGCGAGGGTCTCAAGATGCGCTTTTGAGACGTGATGCAATAGCAGTTCAATATAAAGCTCCAGCCTCCAGGGTCTTCTGATTGGTCCACTGTTTTGGAACTGACATTGATGAGCGGCGCTGCCTGTAAAAGTTGAAATTATTTTAACTTGACAGCGTTTAAAAAATGTGCCTCTTGTGCGAAACTCTACAAAAGATGCAAGACACAAGCACGACGGTCATACAAGTCTGTCTAGCACGTATTTACATAGAAAAACAATGGAAAAGTAGCGCATCGGAATGGAAAAACACGTTTTGTGTGAACGGCCCATAACACTGGTTGCCACCTAGTCATAACAAAGCAAATATGTGCTTGCCGATAAGGGAGTTTTTTTGTTAGACACCCCAGTCTGGAGGAAGTGGCGATCTACAGTCAATTTATTTATTTATTTTTTTGTACGCTATTGTCTCTCCGCCTCCCTACACTATTTTGAGTGTGATGTAATGGCCAAAAAAGATAAACACATTCTAATATCGCCATAATCGTGTAGTGAAAATCTGATATTTTGACAGCCTTAGGGCCCTTTCACACCAAGGATGATAACTATTACGATAACTATAATGATAACTTTTTATCATTGTAGTTTTACAAAGTTTTACTAAATCAATGCAAATGGGAATGAGAAACAATGTGAACCAAAGTCTACACCACAACTATAATGATAACAGCACAGAAGAACAATATTGTTGGTATCACTTTCAGAATATTTTTTCCTCCTATAGAACTAGAAAACATTGACAGCATATCAAAATCCAGCCAACTTTGAAGAGCATGAGCATTTAAAGTGGCAGATGACGTTACAGCACTATGCGCTTATAATAATCAGAACATTATTGAGCGTTGATGTGGACACTAATATAGGTATCATTATAGTTTTCATTATTGTTCTCATTCTTGGTGTGAATGGGCCTTTAGTTGCATATAAGAAAAAGTCCTACAGGTTAAAGTTGACAATATAAGGGTGAGTAAACAATGACATCATTTTTATTTTTGGGTGAACTATTCCTTTAAGGTTCCAGAATGGTTCCGGATCCTCCTAAACTAAGGACTTTTCAATCCAGCAGCATGTACTAACTAACAGACCTTCTCCTTTTAGCTTGACAAATATGCACTTCAAAGTATTCTTTACTCTGCATGCAGTCTGAACAGGGATACTGACTATTTTTCCCTAAAACACATTGCTTCCCTGGCTGTCATTACAGAATAGGTTAGAGCAAACTTACATATTCAAAAATAACAATAAATGATCTATTCATATACTAATAAAAACATACTGTTTGTTAATGTCCTTACTGTAGTTTTGTCAGGGGGATGTATAGACAGTTAAAACTGTTCACATTTATCAGCATTTTAGATGTTATACTTTGCTCTCAGAACAGTTTGAATTATTTTAAGTTATTACAACAAAAGGCTTCCAAATATAAACTGTTTCTAGTTTCAGCAAACTGGCTGGTTAATGTGAGCAGCTGTAGCTGTAAATCAGCCATGCTTTATGCCTATTGAGATTAGCGGAAGGACTCTTACACGGAGAGTGTTGTTTTTGTGATAGACACCTTACACGTTTTTTTGTGCTGGACTAGCTGTTTTCTGAACAATGTTGGATGTGGAGCATAATGAAGGAGCACAGATATTACACACTTCACTGTTAAACTGTGATATAGGGTTTACAATGATTGGAGAGTTCTAATAAAACACTGTTTTGTTGGACAACAGTGCCAATTATTTAGAAATGAGTATGATGACATTTCTTTCAACAGCCTAAATGCGTGAGAATATCAAGCGTAGCGTTAGTTCTGTCAGGTCACTTTAGTCAAGCTCGCATCAGCTGACTCTCAGCTGATCCCCATCTACCTGAATAGGACACTCACCTAAGCATTCATATATAAGGTCCCCTCAGTATTATCAGCAGTTTTCGCATTGCTCAATAGCTAATTACCCTCCTCCATCCCCAGCTCCTCCTCTGTCAGTCAGGATTCAGCCTTCTGATTCTCCTTTGAATCAGACTAATTCTAAAATGTGTACATAAAGTGATATGCTAGAAATGTAACTGTATTTAAATGTGTGCTTGCTCAAGTTCAGGGGTAAAAAAAGGCGCCATATTCAGTTCAAAATCAAAGTAGCCCATTATTACTTTTTAATAAAGAAGACTGTAGAATTTGTCATTTCACTCAGTATTTTATGGCGGGCTGGGACCTCCAAATACTCAGTTTCTAGCATTGTGGGAGATGTTTTATTTGCCTTTTATTAATTTCATATTCCAAAACCATTTTGTATTAAGTTAGTTTAAACTTTACATATGAGGTTGTAAGTGGTCTGGACTTGTTAAATAAACCTTGTGTAGATTGTTTGTTAGATTCAAATCCTTTCATGTGTTCGGTGGATTATTTTTAAAAAAAAGTGCTTTACAAGACTGCCATTGTTTTATGATGTTAAACTTTGTGGGACATTCAGTGGCACTGGCATTGGCCTTTACCGGTTCATTAACGTTTAAGTGAACTTACAGGCTAAAAGTGGTTTCTTAATGTCTTTTTCTATTCTGAAAATATGTAATGTATTGTTATGGGAGAGTACCAGTAAATGAATATAATACTTGTGTGTGAGCTGTAGTAGAATTTATGCTGTAGTTTGTTAAGGGGTCAAAGAGGGGCAGATGAGAAAAACTACTTTGACAAATGTCATTAATTGAGTGGATTTTCCTGTAAAGCATTTCTGTTCAACTCTTGGTCACTTGTGAATTAATTTATTAATTTATTGTGCGTTTTGCAGGTGGACGAAAGATGTACAAAGAATGAATTTGTGGCTCTGCTAACATTAATTTATGCTATATGTGCTGA